CAACATTTTGTTCACTGACTTATAAAAAGAATACATTATATAATTGGGCCCTGGAGAGGGAGGAAGTAGTCTGTACTGATTTTGGGTTACAAGTTCTACTAAAACATCAGGGATACATTATTATATATGCTATTTAATTAATATAATTACATAGAATAATATTTCCCAAACTTTTGGCAAATTTAGGTCACCAATTTCAAGTATGTTTAACAAAAGGTTCATTTGTCCAGTTTATTACTTTATTTCCAGCTTTACCAAGGCTTAATTAATAAACAAAAATTATATATATTTATGGTATAAAATGAAATGTTTCGATATCTGTATATATTGTACAATAATTAAATCAAGCTAATGAACATATCCTTTACCCCTCATATTTATTTTTTTATGGTATGATAACATGTAAGATCTACTTTTTTAGCAATTTGCAAGTATGTATTGCATTATTACTAACTATAGTCACAATGTGGTCCATTGGTGACATAAGTCCAATACTTATTTTGGAATAAGTGTCCAAAACATATTCCTCTTATCTAACTGAAACTTTGTACTCTTTGACCAACATCTCTTCTTCACAGCCCCTGGTAGCCACCATTTTTCTCTCTGCTTCTAGATGTTCAACTTTTATAGATTTCACATATAAGTAAGATCGATCATGCAGTATTTGTCTTTCTGTGCCTGGCTTATTCCACTTAGCATAATGCCCTCCAAGTTCATCCATGTTGCCATAATTGACAGGATTTTCTTCTTTTCAAGGCTGGATAGCATTTGTGTGTGTATGTGTGTGTGTGTGTGGATGTGGATGTGTGCGTGTGCACGCAAACCTCAGATTTTCTTTATCCATTCATCCACTGATGGACACTTAGGTTGATTCCAGACCTCAAAAACCCAAAAACATGGGCAGCAAAAGCAAAACTAGAAAAATGGTATTGCATCAAATTTAAAAGCTTCTGCACACGCAAAGAAACAAATAACCGTAAAGAGGCAGTATACAGAATGGGAGAAAGTATTTGCAAATCATACATCTGATAATGGGTTAATATCCAAAATACATAAAGAACTCAAACAATTCAATAGTAAGAAAACAAAGAACCCAGTTTAAAAATGGGCAAAGAACCTGAATAGACATTTCTTTAAAGAAGACATAGAGGCTGAGTGCGGTGGCTCACGCCTGTAATCCCAGCGTTTTGGGAGGTTGAGGCAGGTGGATCATGAGACCAGCCTGGCCAAGATGGTGAAACCCCGTCTCTACTAAAAATACAAAAATTAGCAGGGCATGGTGGTGGGCATTTGTAATCCCAGGTACTCGGGAGGCTGAAGCAGAGAATTACTTGAACCCAGGAGGTGGAGGTTGCAGTGAGCTGAGATCGTGCCACTGCACTCCAACCTGGGTAACAGAGTGAGACTTTGTCTCAAAAAAAAAAAAAAAAAAAAAAAAAAAAGACATGACCAACAAGTATATGTAAAAATGCTCAGCATCACTAATCATCAGGGACATGCAAATTAAAAGCACAATGTGCTATTACCTCACACGTGTTAGAGTGGCTATTATCAAAAAGTCAGATGATAGTAAGTGTTGGTAAGGATGTAGAGAAAATGGAACCCTTGTACACTTTCAGTAGGCTTGTAAATCGGTACAGTCATTTTTGAAAATAGTATGGAGATTCCTCCAAAAATTAAAAATGGAACTACCATATGATCTAGCAATCGCAGTTCTGGATGTATATCCAAAGGAAATGAAATCAGCGTGTTAAAGATTATATATGTACTCCCACGTTCATTGATGTATTCTTTTTAATGCATTTTTCCATTAAATTAGAACATTCTAATTTACAACTATAGTTATCAGGAAGGATGACAGTGTTCAGTGTCTCTGTTAGATGGTTCTAGAGATTCAGATTCAAATGGACCCAAAATGCATAGACAGATTTTTTTTTTCAGAAACTATGACACTCTGTAATTTCTTCTCAAAAGCTGAAAAGTAAAATGTCTGAACATGAAGCATAATAGTCAATGGGTCTCTATCTACTCCTTGTTTTAGACATCTCTGAAAATCTTCCCTTCAGATTTTGAGTAAACATGCCTCATAATATATACCAACAACTTTATTCTCCAGCAGGTTAAAAAGAAAAAAAATTAAGTATTGTGAAAGAGTGAAACTGTCAGGCATCAATCCATCTGCACATGGTTGAGTTTTCTCATGAAAGCTTAATACAGTATCCTTAACCCGAAAAATGTATATTTTAGCACCAGTATCATAGGTTCAGACTGTGCTAGGTCCTGCTCATATTGATGAGAAGCACAGTATAGCTAAGTAACTGAAAATCCTGGAAATGACCTGGCATTATCAGAAATGTTTCATCTAATAGCTCATTTCACTTACTTAGGTGCCTCTACAATCAGTGTTCTTGCATACAGTAAAGCATTTATCCACATAACACTTTGGGACACATGCACTATTCAATCATATTCACAATTATCTTCTTTTCTTTTGACCGTGAATTGAGATTAGGAGTAGGCTGTAGACTGGACAGCCTGGTTTGAACCTCCGCTCCTTCACTTACTTGCTGTGTGGCTGGAGACAACTTCCTTAACTTCTCAGTTTCTGCACTGATGAGGCAAAGATCCTACCAGATAGTAAAAACTTCATAGGTCATTATAGGAGTTCAGTTAGTTCATATAAAGGTTTTAGACCAGTGCTTGATACATAATAAATGTTTGGTACGTGTTATCCATTGTTACATGTGACTAACACAAAGGCTAAGAAGTTACTCGAATATCAGTGGTTTTATTTAATTGTGAAGTGAAGCATATGTAGTACATGTGGTTTTAATTTCTCTTCTAAATAATTATGTTTTATTAATGAGAACTCTTTCTGATGCAGATTGAAAGAAAACAACTTATAACTTGCTTAATTAGAAAAAACAATGCATCGTGTTAAACAAACTGCAATCCTAGAGGAGACTTTGCATTAAGCCTGTCTGAATTAGAAATCAGAAAATGTTATCAATAATAGATCTCTCTCTCTCTTTCTGTCTCTTTCCCTCTCCCTCTTTTCAGTCTCTTGGTTCTGCTTTTTCCTGATTTAGCTTTATTCTCAGGAAAAATACCCTTGAACCACTCGGTGCATACAGTTCTTAATTATCACAACTCAGAAAGAAAAAGAGACTTTCCGTTTCAAAACTTCTATATAAATCCTCATGAAAAATAAATACATGAAAAAAAATCAGTCTCTATAGTTAAGTTTTGTTTATGAAAAAAAAATCAGTCTCTATAGTTAATTGTCCCTTCCAGCCTATCCTCTAGAAACATTTTTCCTAATCCCTGGATGAAATCTCAGCATGTTCTGTATCTTTTAGATAGTAACAAATAGTTTTATTTCCCAGTGTGAAAAATCCAGGCTTATCTTAAGGCTTCAATGTTTCATTTACTTTAAAGTTTCTTCCGCTTCCTAGCTTGGCCTTTCTTCAGACTGAAAATTCTGGAATGGGAAAATGCAGATGATATTGGTTCCCTCACCTATTTTCTCCTTTTCTTCTTGTCCTCCTTTTCCAGTGTTGGAATGAATTCTCTAGTGTTGGAATGGGGAGCAAAGAGAGGTAAGGGACAGGAAAGATTCGCCTGGAGTACATGAGCATGTACCCTGGCTAAACACCTATTATTTCCTGTTTGGTTCTTGGGTTCTGAGAGGCATCCCAGGACTTTCTCTGGAGAGTTTACTCACCACTTCAGATGGTGCTCTTGATAGGAAATCCTGTAATACGATCAAATTCAGTTTTCTTCTACAGGATCTATATCTGGCCTCACATTGCGCCTCCAAACTCTGGAAGTCTAGGCCATCTCTAGCACAGCTTTCTTGGCTGAGGTTGGAAATGAGACTGCCTGAGGGCGGCCTGAACTGGCCTTGTGCTCTTATCTGGCTTGGTCAGGCCTCCCCACAGCCCTAGTCCAGTGCTGCCTGACATTGGGTAGATAAACTTTTCCAGTTCAGGAGTTGTCTTTGAAGGTGCCTTTGGCTCTTCCACATGGTCATTTTGGTACTTAACTTTATCGGTAACATTGGTAATATTTTGGCCTTCAATTTTACTGTTTTATTTTTGACATTGTTCAGAATCTAGGTAAGGCAAAGGGTTTCTCTTTTTGGATAAGCTGAAGAATCTCAGTGGTCTAGACCACCACACGAAGAAACATTAGTCTATTGGGGAAAATATAGAATGAAATGGGAGATGGTATAGGACATGCCTCTGCCTTCAAATGTTTAGTCTAGTTAGGGAACTAGGCAAATAAATTATCATGAACAATTCAATGTGCTGAAAACAATAAGGGCTGCATTTATTGAGTATTAACTATGTTTCAGGTTTTACATATGTTTTCATTTAATCTATACAGCAACCCTGATTTAGAGGCTATTACCATCTCCATTTTACAGATTGAGGCTGAAAGAGTTCAAACAGCATGTCTCAAATTAAGAAGCGTCAGAGCTTATATCTGAAACCAGATCTGTCTGATCCCAACTTCTTAATCGGCAAGCACCCTGTAAGGCCTCACTTGGACTTTTAGAAGCTTAGAGTCTAACAGAGAGCCTGACATGCAAATCTTCCACTTTACAGTAGCAAAACGAGAAAGACATGACTTCTATCGAGTGCTTTGATATAGTAAATATCCTATTAGAATGAGGCCTTTCTTCATATGCTGACATCATTACCTGGCAATGGTAGAATATCCTAGGTATAAATCCTTGCCTCTGGGACCTAACCAGTTCAGACATTCTCCACTTCACTTATGGATACTGACCACCTGTGTGTCCTGACCAAACCCCAGTGCATTTTTAGAATATTCTCAAATGTATGCAAACTCTACTCAGAGTCAGAAAATCCCCCAATTTCTGAGCTTTCAAATATTTTATTTTAATTGTACTTTAATAATATAAAAAACTATGACACTTTAAATTTCATGAAATAATAAGTAACATTAGTTTTCGATTTTTATTTTCCAGATGACTTTATACACATCTGTTTATTTGATACTTTTAACAAAGTCATGGCATATACTATTATTATTATCAACATTATAAGTATTATATAAAGGAACCTAAGACCCAAAGTTCTAAACAGGTAGGTTTATAACTAAGTTACACAAAGATTGCAGCTGGGTGGACTCTCTTTGATTGTAAATTCTATGCTCTTTCTATTCTACCTCAGTGACTCAGATACTGCCAGCAATCATTCTAGCTTTTCCTTGATGAGTTCCTATAGAATGATAAATATCTTCACAAAGTTGCCAACATCACTGCAAGAGCTGATTGTTGGTTGGCTGGAAACAAAACATATATCAGACACTGTGGGAAAGTACAAGTGCATTTTTAGAGGCATTGTTTTTAATCATGAAAAGCTGGGACGACAGGCAATTTTTTGAAATATTAAATTGTGTTTTGCTTTTCCAGCTATAAAAATGAAAAAAGAATGAGCAGTATTTCTGCTTTATGCTTTGTATTTTCCTCCTCTCATTCTAAAAAGGCAACAGAACTTTGCATTCCCTTCCCTTTGATGTAATTGCTGAGCCAAAGCAAAATAACCAGAAGAAAATCACTTTTTTTGGCCTTTGTGGAGGCTTAAATTTATGAAGGATATCATGAGAGGGAGGGAAAAGAAGTGTCATCCGGAACGAAGAGAAATAGATAAAAGCAGTGAAATCTTGGGGTATACCACACAATTTAAAAGGGGATGACAATCTGCTAATTTATGTAATATTTGACCTGTGAAGTTGGCTCCATTGTCAATACCCATGGGAGCAGGAAGGACCCCTGCACCCCCGAAAAGGGAATGACTATTTGGTAAATCTCAGGAGGCTGGACCCTAGACACTGGGACTGGAATGCAAGCTGAGATTCAGATGGCAGAACCTGGTACAAAAGCTCCAGAGCCACAGGACTTGGAAGTTCAGTGTATGATAAATGACAGGTTTACCAGCTCTTCTAGAATGTTCTAAGGGCAGGAGAGGCCTATGTGAACATAGAGTTTTGCAGGAGCCTTCATCACCATCTTTGAGTGAAGGCAGGGTCAGAAAGAGGATTCTCGAAAATTATTTTTCTGAACGGCTATTATCTGGAAACTTGATGTTATATTTAATTGTAATTTAAAATAATATATATATGTATGTATATTTGTGTGTGCATGGGGTGAAGTTGAATAGATGAAATGGACTTTCAAATTTTAAATACTTTCTGATAAACAGTAATGAGTACATGGGGGCTCATAATACCATTCTTTCTTTGTATGTGACAATTTTTTCATGAGAAAACATTTTTAAAAGACAATAAAGTAAGGTAACAATTCTTTACCTCTCTTATATAGACTAAGGCTCATGTTGGCCGTGCTGGAAGGATCCTAAAAAGCACAACACAAAAGGAGTAGCTAAGTAGTGATGCCTGCCATGGGCTTAGAATAGACAAGTGGCAATATATGTGACATGTATTTTTCCATCCTTTGACAAGATCCTCCAACTATTTTTGACATAAACAAAGTCATCGGAAATCAAAATATTACAATTTAGTCATCTTCCCACAGAAATAGAACAAATATATCACACTTTTGTGGGGATAGATTAATAATTTGAAGCAATAGCCATATCTTTTATTAGAAATAAAGATATTGCCCAATATTTGGTTCTACAGCCCTTTTGCAAACACCTAAGTGAAACATTTCTACTTGCTTTGATTCCTGGAAAGTATCTATGAGGAATAGAAATGGGATTTAACTAGAATCCCTGATCCACTAAAGCTGCTAGATGCAGTTAATCCTGCTAGCTTTGGTCCACAAGCCTGGAAGAAGATAAAATAAAACCTGGCTTGGATCCTCCCCAGTGTGTAGGGGCTGGACTTCATTTCCAAACTCAGAAAAAAGCCTTAGAATCCAACATTTGCCTCTACCAGCAGTCCTGATGCTCTTAGCCTTCTCCCCATCTCCTACTGGCTCTCTGGGGTGGCGCTATCACATGCCCAGTGCTCCAGGGTGCTCAGATTCTTGCTCTTTCCAGAGCCCAAGGGCTGTCAGCTTCACCGATGCTCCTGAGTTGCGAGTTTCTAATTTTGCCATAGGACCTGCAGCTTGAGCAGGCCCAAAAGCCTGAGCCTACACGTCTCCTTCTTCACGATGAGGTGTGTAACACTAAGATACCCTGAATGAATGAAAGTCCGGCTGAGGGAAGCTAAAACACCACCCCAGAGAGGCCTGGAGCAGCCTCAGAGGATGCCTGCTCTCCAAGTGGAGGCTGCTTCCCAGAGGAGGCTATGCTCCCTTGAGCCAGTCTCTATGAGCTCCCAATGGAAGATATAGAAGCTACTGGAAGCTACTGGAGATTTAAAGTTAGCTTCTGTGACACACAAAATACCAGCCAACTATCCGCAGACACATCTAGGTCTTTGGGGGTACCCAACTATACTTCTACATAACTGGCCCCATAGCCAACAGTTTCTGCTTTGGAACTACCACCAATATGAAGGCTCCTGAGAATTCTTGTTTTTTGGGGCAGAGGACAAAACATCAAAACCTGAAATGACACAAAGGCCTCCCAAAGTTCTCCAAAGTGATGAGGGGAAGGAAATGTTAAAACTGCTATTTATGGCAGGGCGTGGTGGTTCACCTGCTGAGGCAGGTGGATCATGAGGTTAGGAATTCAAGACCAGCCTGGCCAACTTGATGAAACCCTGTCTCTACTAAAAATACAAAAATTAGCCAGGTGTGGTGGTGGGCGCCTGTAATCCCAGCTACTTGGGAGGCTGAGGCAGGAGAATCGTTTGAACCTGGGAGGCGGAGGTTGCAGTGAGCTGAGATCAGGCCACTGCCCTCTAGCCTGGGCGACAGAGCAAGACTCTGTCTCAAAAACAAAAACAAAAACAAAAAACCTGCTATTTATATTCACTTTTGTAGAACAGCCTAAAAATTATGCTTTAGTAATATATATGATTGGCAGTGGCTTCCTCACTTGGGCCACGTGTCACTTAAGGTATAAGTTGTATCCTGAGGGAAGAGTATAAATTCCACAACTCAAAGGGCTTGACAGCTGCACACTCACATGTCTGTTCATACTCAGTGCATCATAGAGCAGTTCTCACAGGCTTGGTTTTGTGGATTTATGAATGTTGTATCATAAAGAGTAAAATATTTACAATACTGGAATGTTATAATACTGACACAAGGTGGCGTCATATAAATCTATTTTATGTGTTGTTTGTATTTTTGTTTTGTTCAACACAGATCCCCTGTTTATCTTTTGGCAAAGAAATAAGAGAGTAACATTTTTCTTACACTAAATGACAAGAGTTCCAAGTTTCCTGACCTTTTCTGTAATGACAAGTAGCTGTCAATACACGACCACCTAACAGAGATCTTCAGAAAAGATAAAGACATTTCTTGTCTCCTTTCAAGGTAAAAGGTGACGTTCTAACAATGAGTGAGAAAGTAACTATTTGCTTTGGTTTGAATCCTGCGATGGGAAAGGAATGTGGAAAATGGATGTTTGGAAACGGTTGCATCGTTGTTGTCAAAAATGATATATCTCATTTCTTATAAACTTCTCATACCTTAAATTAAAATAAAATTGAGATAGAATTCTCTAACCTGTCTTAAAATCCTCTAAATAAAGAATTTCAGCAGATTTTAAGGCCATTCAATGAAAGTATTAAAATAAAATCCCTTCTGATTCATTCACCAAAAGTCTGATTCCGCAAGGTATACATGTAACAAAACATCACACCGTATCCCCAAAATATATATAGTTCTTATTTGTCAATCAAAAAGTAAGTAAAACTTCAATAAATATTTTTAAATTCTGATTTTGACATTAGGGAGGAGGGAATTTATTAAATTTTAACAAGTGAACAAGAAATGTGGGATTAAGAAATTAATATCATGGTTTAGAAAGTATAGATAGTGATGTATCTCTTGGATCCACAGATCTCTTGAGAAATATTTTGTAGCTATGACTGTCATCAAAGCCAAATATCAAAATACAATGAATAGAAGCAGACCTTCAATTCTGCATCATGAAGCATTAAACCAAGATTACGTTTAAATGATGGAACATAGTCCGTCACATTACAGTGTTCAAAATATTTATAATAAACTTAGTAAGATTTTGAATACAGATTTTTATATGATTAAAAAATAATTGAAGTGCTTCACTAATCTTAATTCATGTTTGTTATATTCTTTGTAGAAATATGTATTTTGGTAAGTGATTTGTCCTCTGCATAATACCTAGTACTGTATTAACTTATGTGTGTTTGTGTTTATATGTGTATCCATCCATCTATTTAGAATTTTTTAAATATGCAGGGGTGCACTTGGATCACACATGAATTCCAGAACAACTGGGCATAGCTTTTGAACTGCAACTTGAAACAGGAGCTCTGAGGATGGCTCATTTCTGTGTCCCTAGTGTTAAGGACGAGGCCTGGCTAGGCTCAATAAATGTTTGATAAATGAATGAAAATTTCAACATGGCTAGAGGTTGGAATTGTTCTCATATGAAAATAAGTATCCACGAGTTCTTTCAAAATGAGTTTTAATCCATACATATATGCAAAGAGCAGTGAAATAAAATCACAAAATATTTATGCCTTTGAAAAAAATTCTGTTCAGATGAAAACGTGCCCGATGTCTCTGTTATTAGCCACTAGATGGCAATAGCTCTACATTACTCTCCATTTCTCTCTTCCTAGGGATCCTTCTCCATAGGTCTTGAAGGTGCCACCTAGAGTGATGATCTCTGCAGATACTTGCCAAAAACAAGGCATATCTACTTTAGGAACTCTGAGATTGATATTACTAATGAAAATGCATTTCTGTGCTTGTTTCTTGTTGCATAAGTCTAAGACTATTCCAAGTTATCCACCAATTTGATTACCTTGGAGCTGTAAATTACTACAGCGAAATCAATAAAGAATTTATTTTCAGCCATAGGAGTCCATAAAGGTCTGCATATGGAAAATTCAAGATAATTGCAGTGCTTTTATGGAGCATTCTGATTTCTCCTCTCTCCCTTCCTTCTCCCTAATCTCATACCTTTGGAACATGAGCACAGCTACAAATACCAAGATGACAGAAGTGAGAGTTCTGTTCCTGTCTCTCTCTCTGGCTGTTTCTGTGTATTCACAAATAAACCACCAGACTGTGACTGAGAACTGTCCAGTTGCTCATTCATGGAACAGATCTACTAAGAGAACCTGGAAAATGCATGAGATTTTGGAAGGAAAATGACAGAATTAGAAATAAGGTAATGACTAGACAGCAGGAAAATTTTAGCTCTCCTCTTTAGCTCAATACCTGGAGAAATGGTACTGTATAATTTTCTTCTATAGGAAGAGAATATGATTCAATGCTTTCCTGTGCTGTTTTGTTTGAATTTATTCATTAGCCATACCAGGTTAGTAGAAAGAAACTATGCAAAATCCCAGGGTTGCTGTGATTACAATCCAGCTGGGTCTAAAGCTCTCACAGGTAAGACCTAGATTTCTTTGTTCTCTAGATGACTCAAACATTGAGGAAAGCATGAGGTTACACCGAATTCTTAAAAAAAAAAAAAAAAAAAAAAATCTCTTCACATGCTTTTTATCTTTCTGTTTCTCAAGTACTTTTGGCAAATATAGCTCTGATGGGTTCAGAAGTTTAATTTTACTTCAGCATATTCTTATGCCATGACAACCATGTCCTGTCCCCCTCTTCCAATTTTAAGATAATTCTAAGGGCAATATTGGGGTTGGAGGTAGGGGGAGGAGAGAGAGAGAGAGAGAGGGAGAGAGAGAGTGTGTACGAGTGTACACTAGAATGCAGATACTCTGAGTATTTCTTTTTAAAATTAAATATTACAGATGAAGAAACAAAATGTCACATTTATTTCAGGCTACATTTGGCTCTCTTATGATGGAAAATAACCCAAGTAGTTAATCTCCCTCATGTTTCCTGCATTTATTTAACTTAAATTCCATCTCAATCTTGTTCTAATTGATTTCTTCCAGAGAGAACTCTAAAGGATTATTTTGGGATTGAATCTTCTCTTGACTACCTACAACCAGTTGTTGTTTCAAATTATTTTAAAAGCTGACCAAATGACGTGATATCTCCAGAAAGGCATTTATTAATTCCACACCGCCCAGTTATTGTGTCTCACAGAACAGTGTCCAGAGCTGGAAAGAAAAATGTGGTAAGGGGTCTTCTAGTATATCTCATTTCTTTTCTTTGTTTTTGTTTGTTTGTTTGTTTCAGGGAGAATAATCTTTTCAGTACCTCCTAGCTTATTTTTCTCGAATCTTTTTGGCCACAACTAGGCTGATGCCTCCTCTGGACCAACCAGTGGGAAAAGTATATGGGGTTTCCTTACTCTCTTAGACCAATCATGAGCCATTCTCTAGATCTGGGTGTAATGTCACCTAAACACACCTGGGGATCTGTTGGCCAGGAAGAAACAGAAGGGTAGTGAAAACAGAGAAGAGAAGTTGAGCAGTCAAGGAACTGTGTCAGCTACAATTAGCTTTGTATGTGTTTTGGAGTACACTTTAATATGGCCACATAGAATTCCATGCGAAAAGGAAAAGATAAGGTTGACAGTAAGCAGAATCTGGATTGAGGGCGTCCTTGAATTAGTATGTTCTTAATAGGCCATGAAGATTTTGTGAATGGCTTTTATGTAATTAATCTGGCGAACTTTCCTAAGTCTCATACCTACAACTTGACAAGAAGAGTAACCAATGTGTGTCTCAATGTGCCCTGAGAAAACCAAGGTGTTTCCTATACCATATGTTCAGAAGATACTGTTTACAGCAATGGATAGGGATGGCAAGAAGAGAGTAGCTCTTATTTAACGGATGAATGGATGGGGGAGGCTAAGTCTATTAGACACATTGACTGGAGAGGGGAGGTGTCTGTAGCACTGGAATGGCAGTGATTGGTTCCTCTGTAGTTCTTGGCAATGCGGTACTTTGAAGTTCTGTTTAATTTCTGCCTAGTTGGGGAAGGAGGAGATCACCAGGGGATTGACAGGGGTAAAAGAGCCAGCAGGTGTGGTTGGAGGGAGGCAGGCTTGTCTGCAGCCTAGAATATCAGAAGAGCCAGGTTTCTGCAGCACTTTATGGGGGAATGGCTGATAAAAGGTTGTAGTGAGACACAACCTGTGGACAGTACAGAATAAGCATAAAACTCTTTAGGAGAAAGGTTGGTGGATTTAAAAACTAGCCAGGGCTACAAAAACCCTAGTAGATTTGTAGCCCTAATTAAGGCAGAACTGGAATGGAAAGGTTCAAATGTATCAGAAATGGGGGAGGGTAGAGAGGGTCTCAAAAAGTAGATTAAGGAGGAGACAATGTTTGCAGCATGGGATGGCCAAGGCCCCAGCATATTCAGCATCATGGAAGGGGAGTCTGTCTCTCTGCATCATTATTAGGGATGAGACTGGTACTTCTTCAGCAGTGAATAGAAGAGAAATTCCTCTCTGAAGCCTTGACTGGGGAGGCAGTCTGTCTCAGGCACTGGATGGGAGTTTGATATGTGTAGCCATTTTTGGAATTGCTCAGGCTGTTCAGCACATGTTAGCCTTGTTTGCTTCACTGTGAGGGGGTGTGTAGTGTCTGGTATACTTGCAGAATTCATCTGCGGATTGTCCTCTTATGGCTTATACCCCTAAATTCTGGGGTTCATCAATGAATCCACTAGAGTGGACAAAGTGAGGCCAGAATGTCCACAATACTGTGGGGAAAATTCCAGTGTGTCTGCCTCACTAAGATCTTTGAGAGACCCCTGGTCATGTGCCACTGACTAGAGAGGGTATGAGAAGTGTTGGGTCTTAATCCTAGGTATCTTCAATATTGGAGACAAGTGTAGGGAATTGGAAGAACTGTCGGATCAAGCATCAATAATGGGACAGAGCTGATACTTCCGAATCCCTGGAGGGTAAGGCACCTCTGTGTGTTGCTTGCAAAAAGCTCTGGGTTAAGTATGACTGTGTAAGGGAGGATTCTACAAAGCAGAGGACAAATTGTATTCTATTGATTGTATTTGGTCTGTGTGACTGTATTGAATGGTATATTACCAAATTTGCGTCACCACCCTGTTCACATATCTCTTCTAATGACAGTAGAGGACAAGGCAAATTCTACTTTCTAGAATGCTCTCCCCATTTGGTTCAAATTAAAATGTGCCAATGAAAACCACTCACATGTGTTTTGGAAAGTGGATGAGGAGAAATCCCTGTTTCCTGGAAATAGTCACAGGCTGACACCTGAATAGACATGAGGTTCACAGCAGTTCCCTAGAGAGTAATAGGACCCATCCAATTCAGCAAATCAAGCTGAGACTGTTGGGATAGCTTCTTTGACCATAGCGCTCCTAGCTCTTTCAGTGGTAGCATAAGTGCCTAATTTTCTATTTTAAACTCCTTCATATGTGGACAACACGGGGTGGATTCTGTTTTCCTAATTTGAGTCTGGGCTGATACTATGATGCCGACACTCCCTGTGCTATTGAATTGGACACAATAGAGGACAGGAAACACAAATTAGGCTTAAGCCATTTCCATAGATACCTGGCCCGATTGCATTAAAGTTGAATTAATGAATTCTTTTGTGACACTATACATTTTAAAATATTTTTTGGTTACGTTGGTTTTATCTGTCAGCAATTGTCCATTGAGACTCTCATGCCAATTTATGATTATGGTAGAAACAAGAAGTGAGATTTTCACTCTGTGTTTAGTGTTGCCATTCTTTGTGAAACAAACTGAGATTACGACAGTATATAATGAAGCGACAAAATGATAACAGGAGTGCAAGTCTCGGGGGTCCAGAAACAAGAGAGAGTAGTCAGGACCAGAGTTGTTATAAAAGACTCTAGGATGTGGAATTGTGTTTTGTTTTTGTGTTTCTTTTTTCTTTTTAATTGCAGTAAAATATGCATAACATAAAATTTATCATTTTAACCATTAAGTGTACAGTTCAGTAATGTTAATTATATTCACATTGTTTTGTAACCTATTCTCCAGAATTTTTTTCAGTTTGCAAAACTGAAATGCTACACTCATTAAACAACACTATTCTTCTTTCTGCCTTCTTCGCTTCTAGACACTGTCAACCACCTTTCTATTTTTTATCACTATGAATTTGAATACTCTAGGTACTGTATATAAGTGGAATCGTACATTAGTCTTTTTGTGTCTAGCTCATTTTACTTGTATAATACCCTCAAGTCTCATGGGATGGGGGAGTTTCAAAGAAAGCCTAGAGGAACTTGTAGGATTTGGAGACATGGAAAAGGGAAGCACAAAATAGTATTAAAGAAGTCCTCTTATTATAATAACCAAAAAAAAAAAAAAAAAAAAAAAAAAAAAACAACACCAGGGCCAGGCACGGTAGCTCACACCTGTAATCCCAGCACTTTGGGAGGCTGAGGCAGGCAGATCATGAGGTCAGGAGTTCAAGACCAGCCTGGCCAACATGGTGAAACCCCCTCTCTACTAAAAATACAAAAATTAGCCCAGCATGGTGGCAGGTGCGTGTAATCACAGCTACTCAGGAGGTTGAGGCAGGAAAATCTCTTGAAACTGGATGGTGGAAGTTGCAGTGAGCTGAGATCACACCACTGCATTCCAGCCTGGGTGAAAAAGCGAAACTCCATTTTTAAAAAAACAAAAAACAAACACAGAAAACAAACACAAAAGCATGTAAAACAAAAATATTAGAAATTTGAAAAAATGAACAAAACTACTATCACAGTGAGAGAGTTTAAGAAACCCGTTTGTCATTGCATATCAAAAAGGCAGTAAAGAAGTAAAATAAGGATGTAAATAATTTATAATTGATTTTTACATATTTATCTCCAGCTGTGAGTCCTACAGCTAGTTGACTTTTAGGTTATTTTTATTACCTTGATAACTATTGGCAGCCAAGAAAAAAATATAATCTAAAATATGAAATTCCCACTTTAGGACAACATCAATTAACAAGTTCCAGCTTCAGGTTATCCAAAAAGACAGAACCATGGAAAGAAAGCCAGAATGGGTCAGAGGTCCTGTTGCTGATTATTTCTAGGTCTTTCTGTGAGGTACTTTCTTCCTTTACTTTATTTCCTTATCCATAAAATTGCAAGAATCATATCTAAGGTCTTCTTCAAGTACAATATTCCGTGATATTATGCATATAACTGTTATTCAGATAAAAGGAGATGAAATTTTAATATTCATTTGACAAGTGTTAATGATGGTATGTTCCATGCAGGTCCTGTACTATTTGGTGGGCATGGATATGTGAAGTTATAAATTAGGGACCACCCAACTATGTCTGAATGTTTGAAGAAGGGTCTACAGGAGATAGACTTTCCTAATGTTTCTCAAAAACATTTTGAGAAAATACATAGTGTATTTAGAGAATAGAAAAACATATCCATCATTTTCTTTCCAATGCGTAATTCATGATTCTCAAAATGTGTTGCACAATTCTCTTTCATGCTACTGGTTCCTGTGATGATTTTAGAACTAGATCAAGAAAACAAGTTATTTCATCTGAGAAACCACCCCACTGGGCCAAAGCATAAAAATAAAGTTTGTGATGTTATAAAGGAAGATGGGAGCACAAGAAAACAGGAATCAAGCAGACACTCAAAAGTTTGAAAAATCAATTGGAGTTAAAAGAAGATCAGTTAAGAAAGGAAGCATAGTAGCAGTCACTCCGAAAGTTAGTTATTGATAGCTCAATCCAAGCTGCTCCTAATGGGTCCTTACAGATAGCAAGAGAGGGTGGTAAAGAATGCTTAAATTCTAGTAAGATCATTTTCATCTTGTCACAAAGAAATACAATTGCTATTTCAATGAAAATTAGAAAAGGCATTATTCAATAAGTATCTAGGAAATTTTCTAGTGCTAAATAGGAAAGTAAACCTAAAGTATATTTCACCTTGATATTGCAATGGGCTTTAATCCAGAAAAATACAAAGCTTAATCTCAAACTAATTTAATAGCTGAGGGATGGTGGCAAATCATTTATTTTTCTGAGCCTTAGGGTCCTAAACTGTAAAATCACATCAGTAGTAGTATTCTGCAACATAGAGTTGCCGTCATGATTAAATGAGATGATGAGGATGAAACACACAACACAGCTTCATTTAGAGCACATGCTCAGTAAATGTTAGTTCCCTCTTGTATTAGTCAGGGTTCTCTAGAGGGACAGAACTAATAGGATATATGTATATTTGAAAGGGGTTATTAAGGAGAATTGACTCACATGATCACGAGGTAAAGTCCCATGATAGGCCGTCTGCACGTCCGCGTCCCAAAACGTCAAAAGTAGGAAAGCCGACAGTACAGCCTTCAGTCTGTGGCCAAAAGGCTGAGAGCCCCTGGCAAACCACTGGTGTAAGCCTGAGTACAAAAGCTGAAGAACTTGGAGTTTGATGTTCAAGGATAGGAAGCATCCAGCACGGGAGAAAGACGAAGCCCAGAAGACATAGCAAGTCTGCTCTTCCATCTTCTCTTGCCTGCTTTATTTTAGCTGCACTGGCATCTGATTAGATGGTGCCCACCCAGACTGAGCATGGGCCTGCCTTTCCCAGTCCACTGACTCAAATGTTAATCTCCTTTGGCAACACCCTTGCAGACACACCCAGGAACAATACATCCTTCAATCCAATCAGGTTGACACTCAATGTTAACTGTCACACCTCTTCTTCCCGGAGTAGTGCCAAGCCTACACTAACCTGCTTGTAACAGGTAGGGTCTAAGCAGGAGACAGAAAACACAGTGTGTTTTGAATACAGGAAGTTTAAGAAAAAGAGTCCGGCCAGGCTCGGTGGCTGACGCCTGTAATCCCAACACTTCGGGAGGCTAAGGTAGGCGGATCATGAGGTCAAGAGATCAAGACCATCCTGGCCAACATGGTGAAACTCCATCTGTACTAAAAATACAAAAAATTAGCTGGGCATGATGGTGCGTGCCTGTAGTCCCAGCTACTTGGGAGGCTGAGGCAGTAGAATCACTTGAACCCGGGAGGCAGAGGTTGCAGTGAGCCGAGATGGCGCCACTGCACTCCAGCCTGGCAACAGAGCAAGACTCCGTCTCAAAAAAAAAAAAAAAGACTGGCAATGCTAACTAGGGATTGGAGTAACAAAGGAGCTGCTAATAAAAAATAGAACTCTAAAACATATAAGAATGGCAGATATAATGAGTACCTCTAGGGGTCTGATACAGCATGGAAAAAAGAGCTCACCACACCTTACTCCCGTGGCTGAGATTTAGATCTTGGAGAGGAGTGGCTATGACCCACTGGAAGGCAGAGAAGTCTGTCTGCTGCACCAGAGGGAGTTGGCGGAAGTCCTTCTGTTCTCTGTATTGCTGGGAAAACTGTTCACAGGGTTATCTTGCCCGAGATAGTCCACTGCAAAACCACCCACAGGATGCTAGAGGAAGCTGCTGGTTTTAAGTGCTGTTATCCACTATGTATAGCAGGAGCGAGGTACTGGAAAAGACATCTGGGCCGCAGAATCCTCCTGCTGGAGAAGCCATGCAAGTTGTAGGAGCCATGTGCTGAGGAAGCTGCCCATGCTTCAGAATTCAGGATTGAAGAGGAGTGTGCACTGCAGGAAGTGGGCTCAGAAGAAGCTGC